ATAAAACTTAAGTCCCCATTTTGGACTATGTCCAGTCATTATCAATAGTCAAGTGACCTAAGTGTATTGGATCTGATACTATTCTATAGCTGTAATCTTTCTGTGCAGTATGATTTCTGACAATAAATTATTAATTTAGCCTGAAGTGTACTAAATTTACAACTGCCAAATAAATGATATCAGGCAATTATAAACAAACCACATGCAGGGTTCACGTATATTGTCTGTTGCTTCCAAATAAGTTGGGCTTGCCTTCTCTCGCATTCCTGTGTGCACCACTGTAGTGTATAGACCTACCAGTCAAAACAACCACTTTTTTGAATAAAATTTTTTTTGCTTTTCAGTTTTGTTGGGACCACCTACAGTTTCAGTTTTTTGAAAACAAGTTATTGTCAATAACATCGTCCCTGTTTGTATTGAGGTAGCGAGACTATTATTTGCATACTTGTTTTCATCTTCTAATTGTGACTAAATGACTACAATAAGACACAGAAAAGTATATATTTTTGGAATCGCCAGACTTCAAGAGTTTCAAGCGTGTGTTTTTCATGCCCGTATCTGCATTCTACGACGCGTTAAAGATAAAAAAAATACTTTTTCAGTAAAAAAAATAATTACGCATTTATGCTGGTGATAATAAGTGTTTTTTTCTCTTTCTCTTTCTCTAATGGTTCATTAGTCTGGTAAATTGAATGCGTCTTGTCAGTTTTATTCAAGCAACGCGTTTTAAAAAGTAGTGTGCTGAATTTATTATGAATTTAATTGCAGTTTTAGTAGCATTACCCAACTCAAACCACAATACGTTGGTAAATAATCCACGAAAAAGTTTGTCTGGACACATTCAAGTTTCTTTCATTGTAACCTTAAGGTAGAAGCCTACTCATAAATTAAAAAAACCCAGAATTTATTCATTTTGCAATAACTGTACTCCAAAGCAATATGGGGATATTGACTTAAAAAAAGTTGGGGGTCACCAGCCTTATTTTCGAGATATTGATGGTTTTATTTTAGTGGAAAGTCGCCATTTTGGCACAATCATAATGCTTTTATCATAGGTTCCTATGGCAGAGATATTATGCAATATCTCAAAATCTAGCCTGGTGACATCGGCTGGAAAAATCATATATTGTTAATGACAGGAGTACTTTTTGTTGTTCTGAATTATTTTAAAAATCTGGGTTTTAAAAAGTGTCAAAAAATGCAATTTTTCTTTAACATTGTGTTCTATGGAATTGTTCTAAAAATAGTGATTTTCAAGAAATATTAGGACACGTTTCTCAACAAACTTAACTGTAACACACAAAATAATGCTATTTCATGATTGTACATAATAAACTAACGAACATTGTCATGCGATTCATGACCAATTTTGTCAAAAATTGTGAGTAGGCTTCTACCTCAAAGCTATGAAAATTTGGTGTTAATCCGACGACAATATATATACGTTATGTTTTTGTTAAAGACCTTGTATTTTGAAAAACATAAACTCCTAAAAAACGTTGATGAAGTCACAGCAAAGATGTTCAAGCTTGTTTATCGGCACAAGCGATTTATTTTCACATCAAGGTCTGTCTTAACATGTTGTAGGGCCATTCAAATGTATAAGGCTATTGGAAACCAAAAAAATAAATCGGAAGATGAGAACACCTAAATCAATGACTTTTTATTGGCAGAGTGTATCTGACACATTCATATGCAAATGCTAATCTGTGAAAAAACAAGGGTGGAGACAAACCACTCAAATGTTTGTAAACATTCATTGTGTATCAGATAGCTACCGTACTAACTTTATGGATTACATGAGTTGGGAAGGAGTGTGAGATCCCCAAATGCAGACAAGCAGCAGTTAATTTAGTTAAGGCCATAAAATAATCAAGCAGTCAACAACGTAAACCCAAGGCACAGGCAGGTGTACAATAGACGTTCCCAGAACTGATTAGTTTTGAAAAATTGCTTCGATTGTTCAGGGCTCAGACTACTATAGCATGGACGTACTAACACGTCTATGACTATAGATAGTAGTCTGATTTCAAAGTGAGAACAATAATATTCATACTTCTCAGAACTTTGCAATACTTACAGCGGTGTATGTGATTAGAACTTCTAGTATGTCGGACCTTTCATGCCGTAGTAGGCAGCGAGAGAAATTAATCTTGAATTTTAAATGTCATATTTTCACATTAGTGTTTTTGACTGATCTCTGTCTCAATATGGAAGAACCACAGTCAGCTGGCGCACACGTGATAATAAAATAAATACGATAT